GTCTCAGAAACACAACCAACACTGCGAATATCCTAGTCATTACCATATGAAGTGAACAGCATATTATTTTAATAAATGTTACTACTGCCTTGATATCTTCTTCTTCGCGTTCACCAGCTGTAAACTCTGGCGGAAAGTTCTGGTTGCTCGTCCACTACTGGACTGCAGTCCTGCTCCAGAACCTGAGTGTTGCGTGTGCATCAGTTTTACAGATCTCATTCTCTTGAATACAGACTGTTGGTTCCTTGCCTCTCCGGCAGATGCACTCCGACTTCAAAGGAAGCTCCCTAATTAGTCGACTCTTACGACATGCTATGGGGAGGCAGTGGGTCTATTCTTGTTTTCCCTACAAAGGGGCCCCGGAACCCACACAGGGAACTGCCTTGATATGATACAGACATACCACATTATGAGGCCAAAAGCTTTTTAAAAAGTACTTATAGAACCAACTGAGAATCAGAATATCTAGGCCACCAGAATAAATGTTGCATTATATTTATTTTGACCGTTTGTTTTGGGCACGGCCGACTCAAGGCGATGGTTTTGGGCTTTGACTCCGGAGATGGACCGGGAAATGAGGGTGTGATTCTGATAATTATAACACAATTCACATATTTTCAGTTTTCAGAAAGCGATCTGTTGATTGGTCATACTGGCGCTGCTGTAAGCCAATAACTGTGGTTTTTGCAAAACAAGAAAGGTCAAACAGGTCGTAGCATAATTTGTGCGAAGCGCAGGAACGATCGACTGGTACATATCTAAATCTTTGATCTCATTGTGTCAAACTTCGCCAGTATTTCAATCGTCCTACTGTAAGTACAGCTATTGTTCATCGCTATAGTAGTTGCTACATCATTATAGTTATTATGTACATGAAAGTCTGTTATGATTTGTTCCTTACTTACTTAATGCACCTGGCTAGATAAAAATGACCTGCTGACTGTTTTGTCTGCGTCTGCTTACGGAAGTGCTGCTTTGCTCAATTCTTGCCATAATGAGCAGGACGCTTGAAGTTGACTTCTAGTACTACTTGTCGTCATGACGGACAAAATGGCATAAATCATATACCTTCCGAATATTACAATTTGTTTACATAAACATAAAAGAACTTAAAAAAATAGTTAATAATTATAATTAGCTGAAAGACATGACCGAAAAACTGCAAGTACTGACTGCCACGAGCTACAGACCAATCAATAGAATACAGTGGCACTAGTCTGAACAGTCGTTCACTTGAAACTAATATTAATACTATGGTAAATTTAGTTCCCGTGTGGGCTCCAGTGCCACACCATGGGTGGCGGCGGGGATGGGGGGGGGGGGGGGACAAGAATATACATTCTGCATTCCTGACAAGCATATCCTAATGTAATAGTGGACCAATTGGGAGATTTTCTGAAGAATGCATCTGGCGCTGCTCTGCCTGAGAGGCAAGGAACCATCAATCTCACTGCATCTAGCTAAGAGTCAAATCTGTAAAACCAATGTCCATACAACAGCCGGGTTCTGTAACAGGAATACAGTCCATAGATGGACGAATAACTGGAACTTTCCGCTGGAGTTACAGACGGTGAACGCAAAGAGAAAAAATCAATGTGATGTCATAAATTTGGCTCTACTTGCAGATTTGGCCGGCAAGCTGGACAGCGTCGGTCGGCTTAGTGGGAGTTCTCTCCCTTGGCCGCACTCAAAACAAGTAGCGGAAAGAGTCACAAATCAAACAAGACAGTGAGGTCGACATCAGGGCTGCCAATGCTTGGGTGTGTCCCCCAGATCTGGGGTTTTTTTTTTTTAACGCTGCGGGATATCTGTTTTTTTTTTTTTTTTGTGTTTTGCCGATCTGTATGCTTTAATGACCGATAAATTTGCATGGTTAGAGTAGGGTGAGGGTTATGGTTAGGGGTAGGGTTAGGCTTAGCGTTAGATGTGACAATTTTGACGCCGTAGTTCCCTATAATCGCGCACAGTCACATACACACTCAAACAGTCGACGGACGGTGGATGCTACTGACATGGACAATTCGCCACCGATTGGGCACCAGCCGCCCGCTATTGGCGTCATATTTGGCAGAATTTCAGTGGCGCCACTCCCACAAGCATCAGATTGTCGGCCACTATTTCGACCAAATTTTCACATCTACCCTAACCCTACGCAACCCTACACGCAATACACAGCCCTACACGCAACCGTAGGATGATGATAGACACGCTACGCAGCCCTACACGCAACCGTAGGATTATGATAGACACCCTACGCAGCCATACACGCAACCGTATGATGATAGGTTACCCTAGACGCAACCCTACACGCACCCTGATGATGATAGGTAAGTATGTCATTTGATTCGTGACTTTTTCCGCTACTTGTTTTGAGTGCGGCCAAGGGAGAGAACTCCCACTAAAGCGACTGAAGCCGTCCCGCTTGCTAGGAGAGCCATAAATTTTAATAACAGTGCAGCTTTCATTTTTGTTTAAGTTGTTAAAATATTGTTAATTGAACTAACTGACACAACAGTAGAGTCCAGCTGAAACCACTCTATCAGGTCTCACTTGTAAAGAGAAAGTATTTTTTGTGTTTCTTTTTCTTTTGTTAATTAGTTTTTTTTTTTGCGTTCACTAGCTATAAACTCCATCAGAAAGTTCTGGTTGCTCTTTCACTTCTGGACTGTAATCCTGTTCTAGAATCTAAGTGTTGTATGCACATCTGTTTTACAGATCTGACTCATTTGTATGCAGACGGTCATTTGCTTGCCTCTCGAGCAGATGTACTCCAACTTCGAAGGAAGCTCCAAATTAGTCGACTCTAAAGACATGCTTTTGGGTTGGCAGTGTGTCCTATACTTGTTTTCCCCCCCACAATGGAGCACTGGAACACTCACAGATTTTTGATACATAAACTGCCAATGTCTTGCACACTGATACTACTACCAGAGATGAGTAGTTTGTGTACTTCATTCACCTGCCATATACTGCAGAAGAGGAACCTCAGCACCGTGCACGAACTCAATGGTGGCAGGAAGTATCCACGTGTGTATTCCAGAAATATACACGGTGTTCACAGTGACCTGCGTGAAGCATCTTTCTGACATGTTACCCTGGCTTAAACTGTCCCTCATGCTAGCTGAGCTAGCGACACAATATCTTGGTTTCTGTATTAACTTATAATGTGGCCACATCTTTCCTCTCCTTAATATAGGGAAGTGAGATTCAAGAAGTGGTCTTTGTTAGAACTCTTGTTTAAATCTAAATGTGGAGGGGTTGAAAAGTATTTTTAAAAAAGTTTACTACTAAAGCGTAGATGTTGTTCCGGGCCAAAACTGGATTTCTACAGTTAGGAAATCCAGAATATGGAAAATAGATAAGAAGAGAGCATCTGTTTGGAGGATAATTATGCAAATCAGGACTAATGTTCACATCCCTTTAATTTTTATAACCAAACATGCTAGAGGCGAACACAGAGAACATACTCTTTGAAATGTTAGAAATAATTGTGTGTGCAATTTGCGGCTGTATAATCCCTAAATATTATACAACGCAAGTGTACTTTTTAATTTGTCTGCGTTTGATCATCATACTATTTTGTAATTCTTTTTCCTTACATTTTATGATTTCGCAGTATTAAAAAAAGTTACGCATGCACTTTCTATACTGTTGAAAAATGCTTCTTTTCTTCCACATTGTACCTCAGTAAAGTGTTGGGGGCAGATGTAATGTTTATTGTGACCTTGTCAAAAGCACTTCTTCTTTCTTCTTCTTCGCCTTTACCAGCTGTAAACTCCAGCGGAAAGTTCTGGTTGTTTGTCCACTTCTGGACTGCAGTCCTGTTCCAGAACCTGAGTGTTGCGTGTGCATCTGTTTTACAGATCTGACTCATTGGCATGCAGACTGCTGGTTCCTTGCCTCTCAGGCAGATGCACTCCGACTTCGAAGGGAGCTCCCAATTAGTCGACTCTTACGACATGCTTTTGGGTAGGCAGTGGGTCTATTCTTGTTTTTCCTATAATAGGGCCCACGGAACCCACACGGGTAACAAAAACACTATTAAGACTGATGTTCATTTCAGTAAGGCTGTTCTTTATGCCATCACTTCATCTTTTACGGGGTCTTCTACTGACTCTATACCCATTATAACGTTTCAGTGTGGCTTGCTGTGGTTGATAGTATCAGGGCATTCTTGTTAAATGTCCAAACCACTTTATTTGTTCTTCTTTGATGACCTGTAAGACTGGCTTTATTCCTAGCTTCTGTCTGACTTAGTGATTTGGTATTGTCTTTCCTTGAACTCCTGCAGCTCTTCTAAGGCATTTCATCTCTGTAGTCACAGTTTTATGTTCATTAGAGATGTAAGTGTCCACATGTCGCACTAATAGCAAAGTGTTGGCCAAAAAATAGTTCTGATAAGATTCACTTTCCTTTAGTACTTTTGGGTATCTGCTTGTGTGTCAACAGAGGAGATAATTGCCCCAGTACTTGATCAGCTTTGGCATATCTTGAGCTAATTTCTCTGTCCAGTTTTCCATCATGTGTAAAAACTGCTCCGAAATACTTGAATTCCTTTGTCTTTAGGCGTTGTTGTTTTTTTTAATTTAATTTTTAAATTATCTTTTTGTCTTCTGTTACAATTGTCTCTGTCTTCATAGTGTTTATTTTTATATTATATTCCTACCCTTTGTTATTAATTTGATTTAGGTAGTTCTGTGTGCATTCTGTACTTTCTGCTATGAGTACCTGGTCATCTGCGAATAGTAATTCTGTAATATTTTCTTCATGTTTAAAGTTTGTTCCCTTACATATAGTATACCTGTAAGTGATAAGAAGAAGTAGCGATAGTAAACAGCCTTGACATACACCGGATTTCACTACAATTCTTGACATCCTACTTTCATATCCACAAAATATTTACCCATTATATCATATATGAAAGATGTCATAAATGCCACCAATTAAATATCATCTTGACTGAAGTGAAATAAATGTTTTTCCAGATTTCAGTGGAAGAGATGGAGAAGATTGCAGATATTGAGTTAACGAGCATTGACGCAACTGATCCAAAGCCTAGATCTTTTGCTAATAGTATAAATGCTATTCTGATACAGGTGGGTGGACTGTTTATTTGTGTACATTTTGTAAACATTATTTCATTTTAATGGAAAAACAGTAGCTTTGTAAGAGTCAAGTGGTTTCTCAACTCACTGCACAGACTGGTTGGGACCAGCAAGGATTCTTATGTGTTTGCCAGAATTGATACATTCATCAATGTTCTGTTGTGAACTGGTTTTGAAAGTTAGTCCAGTTACTGTGGAAATGTTCACTTATACATTGTGCCCATAACTTCTCCCAGTCTTATCCAGCAGACTAGGTTTCCAGCACACAACTCAGGGAGCAAAGTATTGGATTACCAGTTATTCAGTCCAAATGTTGTTTCACAACCAGACCTTCCTGAATTAAATATTTATGTACATGCGTGTGTGTTTGGGTGCATAGTTAGGAACCTTTCCATTTTCCAAACAGTAATATTATACAGTGCTGTATCTGATGTTGGGAATCAAAAGTCCATAATTGATGGTTGACAAGACCAGCTTGCCATTAGTCTTCTAAAATAAATGCATGGGATTTCAGGGCCATTGCTTCAGTCACAAGTTGTGTCTCTTCTGAGATGCTCAACCCACCTCTAAGCATATTTGTGCTGGTTTATTCCTTTGTTCTTATTCTCCTGCTGACTTCTTCACTTCATACTACATAAGCCAAGGCACTCTTTTCTCTTCAGTACCATGTGTGACCTAGCCATCTGAGCCTCAATAGACTTGAATATTAAGAAAACCATGGTAACACTTGTTTTCAGTGCATCAGTGTTTGAGATAGTTTTTTCGCTTAATTTAAAAAAATGCAGACACAAACAGGACATTGCACAATTTAATTCTATTACTACAGGGTTACATTAACATATAATATGAAACAAATATCAAGTATCTTTACTGTTGGTAGTTGGAGGCAATGTTTTAAACACTCAGAACTGACCAGGCAATGTCACCTTCAACCACCAACAGTTTAGCCACTTGATATTTGTGCTTCATTACATATTGATATAACCTTGTAGTAATGCACCAAATGAGATACAATGAAATATCCCAGGCAAAGAGTTGTGCAATGTGTTGTGACCACATTTTTAAACTTCAATACATGAAAACATTGTTTTGAGATTTCACCTTATTATGGCCAAGGACTTTTGTTTTGCTTCACATAGTTACACCCGTTTTACACTCAGCAAGTTGGCAGAGTTTTTCAATTGTAATAATCTATAATGTACTTACCCATGCTCATTGGAAGTTCCCGGGTGAACAGGAGACTTTCAAAGAAGGTGCTGATAGACTTTAAAGACAAGGGCAAAAGCTTTCTGTATGCTCTGGAGATTGAGCCATGAATGAAATTTTTAATTTGAGACTTGCTTAAGCCAGAAGCGGGAGTAATTCCTTCCGCGATCAGGTGTTATTTCGGCTGATGGAAAAAGGCCTCTCTGCTCTTAGAAATCACTTACTTGTGAGTAAATTCTTAACTCCCAATAGATTTATGAACGAATTGAGTACTTATCCCAACATCATGACCCATAAGTACAAAAGGACTATTTACTTATGGAGGAAAGTCCAAGATTTGAAAATAGCTCATTTACATAGAGGTGTACAAGATGTTCGCTGGTTCAAGACCAGAGGGGTGTTCAGTTATCATGCAACACTCATTGTGCTAATTCTTCAATGTGATAGCAAATCAAACCACCTGATTTCTTTGGGATGGCAAATAACATAGATTTTCACAAGTCAGGAGATGTCTTCAATGTAATCCCTTCAAACATAAAAAACGCTGGACATGGATAACAGTGGATACAACTTTTTTTAAAAATGCCATAGCAAGTGAGAAGGTAGTCTTGTATTTGTATATTTTTTTATTGTTATTTTTCATTTAAGATGTGATCTTCTTTAAAAGTAGTAATTTACCACTTAGGTTTTGGAATAATTCAAGTCTGAAAAATGTGACTTGTCTTCTGTTTATAGGAGGATGACATTGAGACACCATATGGAAATATTCACGTGGCTATCCAGGGGGACAGATCCAAGCAGCCAATTGTAACATTCCATGACATTGGACTCAATCGTAAGTTATTGTCCATGGAATGTCTGTTATTTTTGTTCCATGGCTGTATCATTTGCAGATGTTTCGCATGTATGTTGTGCTTTAAAATGAGCTAAGAATGTCATTACAGTTGTTCTCCCTGTGGGTTCTGGGGCCCTATTATAGGGAAAACAAGAATAGAACCACTGCCTACCCAAAAGCATGTCGTAAAAGTCGACTAGTTGGGAGCTTCCTTCGAAGTCTGAGTGCATCTGCCTGAGAGGCAAGGAAACAGCAGTCTGCATACAAATGAGTCAGATCTGTAAAACGGATGCACACGCAACACTCAGGTTTCGGAACAGGGCCGCAGTCCAGAAGTGGATGAGCAACCAGAACTTTCCGCCAGAGTTTACAGCTGGTGAACGCAAAGAAGAAGAAGAAGATTACAGTTGTGTAACTAAAATGTCAAACTGATTTAAGTAATGTTTTTTTCTTCATATATTTCAGATAGCACATGCTTTCAGGGGTTCTTCAGTTACCATGAAATGCAACCCATCCTTCGACACTTCTGTGTTTATCATGTCAATGCACCAGGACAAGAAGATGGTGCGCTGTTTCTCAAGCCAGAGTATGAACAAACCTATTTGTGAATTCTTTTCTGGTGTTTGCTGTTCAGTGTTTTGTTAAATGGAAGCATGCTTATGTGATAGTTTCACAGATAATATCAGCTGGGATATAAAAATTTAGTGCCATTGCACTTCATTTTGAGAGATTCAAATAGAAAAGCACTGAGACTAGAGACATTTTATAGGTGCTGGTGGCATGTTTACAGACGTACCGTTTCACCATTTCATAGAAGCAAGAAGATGAACATCGTCGCTATGTGTTTGCATGTAGATGTTTGTTAATGATAGGAATTTGTGATGGTTATTGGTGGTGCATCCTGAAGATATTTGGTGTTTTAGATGTCATGTCTCTCTCCACCCATTATTTGAAGAATTTGCATGTTTTAGATATACATTATCTGATTACTTCTGCTCTTGTGTAGAATGAGTTTAAAAAGACCATTGGGTAAATTATATTATGAAATAATATAAACATGTTTATTTTCAGTGATTTGTTGTTGTTTTGGGTCTGCAAGTTTGTATCCTGCATGGTAGTAACTTGCATGAACAAAAATATTGTATACATTACTACTTATGTGACATGAAATGTGCTATGCCTGAAGCAAGCACATCAGTTATACAAATCTTTTATCACTACAAAAATATGTGACAGATGACTAAAATTAGCAAGCGTTGCACAGTTGAGGAACAGCTTTTATTCTGGACATTATCAGCTAAGGCCAGTTTGTTCTTGTAGCTAGTTTAATTAGAATAGCTTATGGATACATTGTTTAAACAATATATATATATATATATATATATCACAGTTTTTCTTTTTAATAATGGTTTTTGGTCTGAAGAGAGAGGATAGGATAAACTTTAGACTTTACTTGACTTTAAAAAATGAAAATTACAAAGTTTATGAAAATAAATGTCACTTTGTACATAGGTGTTCTATGGTTGAATACCATAGGCATTTTATAAACATAATTAGCTGAACTAAATTTCACACGAAACAAATATTAATAAAACATCAGACATAAGAATATATCTACACAAACAACAGATCTCATTAAAAGCCCCGTGGTTATTCAGATGTTGTCATATTAGATGTATTGTTTGTGTAGATTCGGTTTCACTTATTTACAGTGTCATTTGTTTTTCCCCTTGCATGTTCCTGTCAACAGGCAAGATGCTCTTGGTAACCCTGAGTCTCTTGGTAGCAGGTATGTTTATGACAAAGCTTTTGTTGCTTGTGCTTTCTATTTCCCCATTAAAGATGTGTATGGACTCCACGGTCGCTAACTTACTCTGCTGTTAATTGATTTACAGTCATATACAGTTATTTGACTTCTGTCATAATTCTGACATAATTGATTTTAATCAGCAGTAATTATTTTGCTAAAAATTCAAATGCTTACATAGCTCAATATTATCATGATGTGATAATGGGTGTTTTAAGCAAATCATATTACATATGATTCTTTAACTCTTTCATACCAGATGACAGTTAAATTAGTTGTAAATCAGTGCCTGATGATTTCCTCGGTGCCTAAAGAGTTAATAGTTAATTTGTTTAAATATACACAGTAATTGTCAATAAGTAAGTTAAAATATTGAGGATGGCATAGATGAAAATGTTCAAGAAAGAGTGATGTCTTAAAGGATTTTTTTTTTTCCCTGTTCTGTTTTGCAGTTACTTGTGCTTGTCTAAATTGCTGTGTTCTGGTAGATCAATGTGGCTTAGTGTGTGCATGTCTTTTTCAGCTTGTGAATCTCTTGTTTATGTCAGTTACTTACATGCCTATCTACTAAGGTGCAATACATGTTAAAATCATTGCTGGGAATACTAGAGACATTACGTAGTACTAGACAAATATATTGAAAAGCTTATGTAAGACTCATTTGAATGTACTGTAGAATACCATCTCCCTGTTCATAATTTCAGTATCATTTGTTTTAAGTTGTTTTCACTAGTTTATCACTTCAGGGCAGTTCATCTGCATTATTGTTGAGATGTTATAAACATCGCTGTTACCTTCTCCAGATACTATTTTGCTTTGTAAAATAGTCTCAGGAACTCATACTGGGGCAGTAATGCCTAAACTTGTACCTTTTGTGAGATCATCTACACTTCTCCACTAATTCATCAGCCACTTGGCCTCATCTCCATCATCAGTTGTTATCATTAGTTATTGCTTATTGTATCCTGTTTCATTCTTGCTGCACTGTTCTAGATGTATTAGCTGTCCTGTTTTGTTGTTGGATGTTCCGTCTTTGTCTTTCTTTCACTTGATCCTTGACCCAGTCAATGTTTAGCATTCATTGCTGTCAAGCAGGCTTTGCTGTCATCAAGCAGAAATGGTGTACATACACATCATCTTAACCTGTAATGCTGCAGTGGAATGTATGTGCACTTTCCTTCTAGACATTTCTCTTGTGGGTGAGACACTATATATGTACTGCCCACTAATGAATTAGAGATAGCTAATTGTAAGTGCTGTCTGTTTGCTTTTGTGTGTGTGTAACAGGATGGTTTTAGAGAGAAGGAAAAGAGATGAAGATAATAAAGGGGAATAGAGAGATGAGAGGTGATAAGAAGAGGAGAAAAGGTTCCCTTTTCTATATGGGGTTGTAGTGTGTGTCTACATCACAGATGGTCAGGTAATAGGATAGGTATACAGTTTTATTTTAATTTTCTGTATATGTGAATCGACTATCCATATATAGCTTGGAAATATGGCATGGAAATTAATGCAAAAAGCAACATTCTGGTTAATAGCCACAATAATCAAGTACCTATTAACATACAGATAAAAGGGGAAAAAACTAGAAGTTGAAACCTTTGAATATCTCGGCTCCCACATATGCAACACTGGATAGCTGTACCACATAGATCAAGACAAGGCTTGATATGGCAACAGCTGCAATATCCCAGCTGAATACGGTGTAGAAGAGCAAAATTAACATCGGTTTAATTCAATATATACAGATCACTATTTTCTTATACGGATGTGAGAGTTGGACTGTCACTGTGGAGATGGAAAGGAGAATTCAGGCTTTCGAATGTAAATGTTAGACTAGACACATTTTACCAATTAGTTATTTAGAACATAAAACTAACATATATGTTAAGACAGAATATACAGATTTGCAGTATATCAGGAGCCTCTCTTGGCAGTAGTGAATTGTCGTAAGCTAGCTTGGTTCATACACGTGGTGAGACATGATTCAATTGCACAGACTGTGTTTCAAGGAACACTGGGGGGTAGTCGAAGAAGAGGAGGGCAAAGAAAAATCTGGAATGACAACCTCATGAAGCGGACAGGACTAAGTTATCATACATTTATTCATCAAGCGGAAGAAAGAGAAAGATGGCGGGTTTTATGTGCTAGTGCTTCCATTGATACACCTAGGGTCAAAGGCTGTGTTATATATAGCTTCAAAGATTCCCAATCAATAATGTCTGAAAACTGTTCATAGTTCAAAAATTCAAATTAGAGAGATCTGTTCAGTGCTTTGCTGTATTATTATTTTCAGTCTGGATATTATCAGTGCAGGATCTGGTTTTATCTTCTTTTTTTTTTTAAGTCTACATTTTCATTACTTAGTTTTTTAACACTGGTATCTTGTCACAGTGATCCTGCTTAAAGGTAAAAGGTAAAGGTAAAGTCGGGAGATGTGAACCAGCATGATTGCACACGGTTATAAACCATAAGTGCTCTGCCACCAGTACGGACAGCTGAAAAGAAACTCTCCGCCTGTGTCGCCGTCCGCACGTAATTCTGTAGCTACAGCGATGTTCCTCCATTTACCCCAGAGTGTTAACTCTGTTACCCATTTCCTAAAGACTGGGTGAACCCCGGGAACCGCCCGGTTTCAAACACCGACCGTGGCTGCATCGAGTGGCAGCTGGATCTGAAAGCTAGCCTCCTATCGACTGCGCAAATCAGCTCCATTGTCTGTTTGATGAGAGAGAATTCAAGAGGACAGAAAGCATCTGAATGAATATTACGGAAACAATAAATATGGTCTTGTGAGACAGTGCCAGTTGTTGTGTGTTATGATCTGTCTACTTAGAAGTAGCATTCACATTACTTTGTCTGTGTGGATATAGCCCTTTATTATACTCCAGGGCATTCAACTGGTGACCCACTTGCCAAATCTGACCTGCCGATGCCAAACAAGTGGCCCGTGGATCATTACCAACTGTATTGTCTTAATGATCTTTCTGCGCTGGCCCTTGGGCACTATCCTCATGTTTAACATTTTAGTCCGTTGAATAGTCCTGTTTTTTTTTTTTTTTCATCGAACACCGGCTGTGAATTCCAGTGCAAGGTCAGGTTAATCGTCCGCTTGGACTTTTGGCCTTCACCTGGACCTGATTTTTGCGTGTACAACCGTTTTTAATTTCCCTGCCTCTTGGGCAGCTGTACGCCGACTTCGAAGGAAGACGTCAGGCCTATTTCTAGGGTGACTGTGGCCATTGTTTTGTGTGGGTCGAGACTGCCTGATTTGTGTGGTGTCCGCCTTGTCTCCTTCGCCGCAGGTATTGCCCCCGGAGTACCCCTTTGGGGCAACCCCCTGTGGAACAGTTGGCCCTCAAGGGAAGGCAGGGGCAGATCATGGGCATTCCCCGCCATCCAAGGAGGCTTCCATGCATGCAGAGCCGGCACATGGCGCTCTGGTTCTGGGCTCACCCAAGGAATCGTCACGTCCTGCACATGCCTGCTTAACCTCACAACCGTATCAGGCCTCCCGCTCGACAGGGGCTGCGCCCTCTGGAAGTCAGCGGGGAGCAGCCCGTTGGTTTTGGACTTTTTGTGACCACACAGATAGGTACATTAGCCCTGCAGAATTTCACATCCTGAATCAGGCATATCGTTATCAGTTTTGTCCCAACACTCGGGCGAGTGGGGTCTTTGGGTATGGACATTCGGCCTTTTGCATTTCAGTGCAAATTTTGGTGGTCAGATTTTGATCCGTATGATCTAGTTTTGTCGGACATTTAGGCTTAGCCATCCGATGGATGGTTGCTGTTGTGGTGTACCCCAGCGCGGTGACGACGACACTGAGGGTTAACCGAGGATGTACGTGACTGGCCAGCCTATGGATGGTTGCTGTTGTGGTGCACCTCAGCTCGGTGACGACGACACTGAGGGCCAACCGAGGATGCACAAGGATGGCCAGCCCATGTATGGTTTCTGTTGTGTTGCATCTCAGCGCGGTGACGACGACACTGAGAATTAACCGAGGATGAGCATTGAGCAATGTTCTCTTTACTCAGCAGTCTTTTAACCAAGGGTTGTGATTTTAGCTGTACTTTTTGTCGAACCTACTCATGTTCCTAATGAGTTTTGATAACATTTTTCACCCAAGCGTTTGGGGGCGGGCTGGTGAGAGCCACAAGGACACATCACCTCTGGGGGCCGCCAAACTCCGAGATCCCCTGACAGCTCTGTTAATGCTCATTTGAGACATTATCCGTGGCGCACGACGAGGACGTGCTGTAGGGGTCTTGTGTGAGGTTCCGTACAACCAGGATAGTAAAGGACTGGCGCCCGAGTGACATACGGAGTATCTCCTTATACACATCATGTTGGACTTAACTTCCCCTCACGCCTGTGACATAAATCACCGCGCCACAATAGTCCTGTAAAACACCATGATTTTTGTAATTTGAATGTTGTATGAAAATATTTGTGAATAGTAAATAATATTTCTTTGTATTAGCAAATTATAACTAGCACATTATAGTAATGTATACTTGAATCTTGACCTGAGGATTAACATTAATTGTATGAAACTGAATCACTGTTGAGATAATAATAGACTTCAGTACATTGTTCACAAGTCTTTTGACTTTATTAGAAGCATTAATGCATTGTGATTTATCTATAGACTTATTTTTTTTTAATTTATAGTGTCAGAAAGGCAGGATATTAGTATCAGCATTTGAGACATCAAATGAGACGAGAGTAGACAAGATAGGACAGCATAATATGTTAACCTCACTGTTTGACTTGAGCAACATCTGTAACTGTTTTCAGATTCGTCTATCCCACCATAGATCAACTGGCAGAAGCCGTCCACCATGTTGTCGAGCATTACGGGTACGTGGCCTCGCAAACACAAATATCGACTTCTTAGATTGTAAAACTTAGATTTTAAAATGTTTATTATTGAGAAATTAGTTGTTTAGTACACTCTTATATAGCCAGCCCCAAATAGGTTCCTGTGAAGTCAGTGTTGACCACTTCATCCACTGAGTGCTATTTGGTCTACACAAATAAGCCTCCAGCATCATGTGCCCGATATGCCACTGGCTTGAAAAGGCTCCTTGAGTTTTCTGTAATCTCTGATATTGTCCTGATCAGTCACTGTGCTTCTTCTTGAGTGAAAACTACAATATTTCCAGCATTAGGTTTTCATTAGAAGACATTTAAAAAAAAGCTCTCTAAACGGTCACTACTATCTGTATTTACTGCTTTTTATGGCGGTGTAGACAGGGGGATCAGGCGTCTGAAGATTTAGGTCCACGGGGACTGTGCTGTCACCATAGACTAAAGGTTAGGATGTTTATTTTGCCTGCGGCAGAAAAACTTCATCAGCTTACCGGTATGGGGGGGGGGGGGGGGTTGCAGGGATCCATCGCTGGAGAGCCCCACATTGCAACTGCTGCTCAGCCAGCCACAGTTCTCATAAGACATAACAGGAATAAATAAATTCATAATTATTTTTAGTAGTAAGTTCATTGGGACTGCCTAGATATCCAGGTTAATTTGAACTGAAAACAAAAAGGTGCATACATTTTGGGGGGTTGGGCACACGACAGCTAGATCAGAAATGACAGTCGCTTGAGTTTTTTGCCATAGTGTCTTCTGAATGGTTCTCGATACCACTGTAGAAACCAAGGCGGTCTGCTGCCAAATTGCCTGCAGCTGGATCGAATCCAGCTCCTCTGCATTACCAAGCTCATTCACAACAACTTAGCCACGGGCACGGAAATCATAGTAACTAATGATCATGATTGTTTTTTTTTCAAATTAGCATGTGACTTTATTCCAGTTTTGTTTTTGGAAAGGGGGAGGGGGAACTTCTGAGTGTTTACAGCTGTGCATTTTGGCTACAATTGGCCAGTTTTGTAGTGAATGTGATCAGTAAAAAAAAATTTTTTGTTAACAGTGCTAATTGTTTTCTGTCTCTAGGATGAAGACATTTATTGGATTTGGTGTTGGAGCAGGTGCTAATATTTTGGCACGATATGAGGTAATGTGGTCTACAGACAATTTTAGACAGTATGAAGTCAGCAGAATGAAGGGGTGTTAATTAAATGTTAGCATGGTAGTTTAAAAGACATCATATGTTTTAATTTTCTGTATGCACAGTAGAGTTTAAAAAAAAAGTCATCAAGCTATTTTTCAAGCCATAAGACATCTTTGGTATATGGTGTTAGCTAAGTTAATGTGGTCATTTTAGACTGTATCGACCATGGAACCTCATCTTCGTTGGGCTATACTATTTTCAAATCGGTAAAGCAAATAAAACAGGTTAACCATTTTCAATAAAAAGTAGACATCATACTGAAACATTTTGTGTAACCTGGTTTTTTTGGGGGTGGTTGTGAATGCGAGATACATATTAAAATGAAGAAATGTGAGATGGTGGAAATATTTGTTGAAAAAACATAATTTGGTTTCAATGGAATATAAAAGAAAACGGGACTGAGATATTGTGAGCTGCCGGTTTTACAGTATGCCTCATCATAATATGGGGAAAGAGACAAATGAAGTGTATGGAGCACATCAATAGAGCAGAGTCTTATGATGAATCTCTGGACTAATCCATGTCTAGACTGACGGACATGGGTGTGCAGCCTGGAGCTGCAAGAAATGAATATTTCAGTAAGGGGGACAAGACGTTTCATTAACCAACACAGAACAGGCGTCATCAGTAGTTTTACACTAGTGGAGCTTTTGAGGAGGAGATTGGAGCACCTATGGATCTGTTTAGGGTGCTATGATGATAATCCTTTCTTTTTTAATCACTGGCATAATTAGGGCTTATAGACTACAGTGATTGAGGCATGCAGAGAGAATGGCAGATAAAAGAGAAAACTGGGAACACACAAAAAAAATTATAATGAATCAGACCCAAAAAAAAAGATGGTGGGGAGATGATATACAAGGGCAGTCCTAAAAACATGTGGTCACCAACTGGAGAGTGAAGGCCAGTCAGAGAGATGAATAGAGGTGAATGATATTTGCAGCATAGAACCTAAAGGACTCAGAAGGCTGAAGAAACATCAATAGAAAAGGTGGACTATAATTATATTGGACTATAATTAACCTTATGCTTGAATATTGTAGCTGAAAGAGAGGAAGGTACAGAAAGATGTGTGTGTGGAAAACATGTACTGTTTAACAACAAACAGTAGTATAAGCAACGCCAGCTTCATCTCAATAGCAATGTAGGTGAGGTGAGGATTGGAGAGTCTTCATTGACCTTACATCTGAAGGATGATGATGTTGATAGTTTTCATAATGTCATTCACAAACACTGTTAGTACTTTGAACCCATGTTTTGTAACTTCCACTAATTGTGTAGCGCCCTTCCAGCTGGATAAGTGTGTGTTGTTGAAGCTGGGGGCAGTGGGAATAAGATTTTGAAGATGCTGCTGAGAATGTTGTGTTTATGTAAGAAGTGGGTTAGTGTTGTCTACCTATTCCTGTCAGAACTAAAGAAGGCCAACCATCTGTTGACAGCCCTAGAGATAAAACAAGAAATAACCAACCAAGATGGGGAAAGACTCTTATTTCTCTTATAAGAATGTTGAAGTGGTACACAGAAAGTCAAAAGGAATCTAGATCATTAGAGACCAAGATATCAATGAAGAAGAGAAATAGAGACTGGTGGTGAACTGTATGGTGAGAATATGTTGTGAGCTGCATGTGATGACAAATGAACTAACTTGGCATCAGTTGGTTGCAGGCCTATATTGCTCAGTACATAATAAATCACTTCAGGAGATTTTAAAACAGACCATGTATGGAAAATACTAGCTTAAGAGCAACTAAAGGCAAGGAAGGGTGTCTGTGAACATGTATTTGGCTTCAGCTGGACAAACGAAACATATAAGCAGCATCAGCCTCATAAAATTTCAGAAGACATAATAGAGGATCATGGATGTCCCTCTCTGTACTACACTGTCCACATGAAGAAGAAAGTGAAAGGGTTTTTTGCATGATCATTTCAGTGAATAACAAATCACTACAAAATCACTAGGTGAAAACTAAAGTTACAAAAAATAAATGTTACACTCTGTTTAGCTATTTTATTTATTATTGGCACTAATTAGATTTACAATATGTTATTTATTATACACTTTAAATCGAGCACCTAGTTTTGTCACTTAATTTTATCAGACGTAACTTTTCAATCTGCATAAATAATTTCCTGCGGCTGTAAACAGTGGTTTTGTTTTGTTTTGTTGTTTGCTACAGCTCAATCACCATGAACAAGTGGACTCACTCGTATTGGTGAACCCAACAGCCAGCAAGAGTGGCTGGATTGAATGGGGCTATCAAAAGGTAAGTGGTGAGACTAGACCTTGTTGAGTGCACATAAAGAAAAACATCTATGTTGTAGAGCAAAATTCATGGTTTCTGGTCGAAAGCTGTGCTGATTTCAGTTTCAACAGCTTCAATATTCTATTGTATTATAAATATCTGTTCACCCATTGCTGCTAAGTTAGTTGGCCTTAGGTGTTGTTTGAGGTTAGGACAAATGATATCTTGTCAGCTGTTTTGATCTGTCCACAGATGAATTCATGGTATCTGAACAGTGGCCAAGTCACAGCGTTTACAGAGGAATACCTGCTGTGGCACTGGTTTGGGAAGGTGAGTATAACTACTTAGTTGAATTGTAATTTCACCATTCTTTTTTAATGATGGGAATGTTGAAAATGTAAGTGTTTTGGGGTTTTACTCAATTGGAAAATATTTATTTTATCGTGGATAAAGAAATTAACCCACTAACTGCCATGATCACACGTAATAAAGTCCGCTGATGTTTACGCGGTTACCCTGATCACACCCCCTGTGGCCGTAACTTTGGATGCTCACCGTCATGTTTAAATTTCAGCTTTTGAGGTTAAATGTGGTTGAAGCCATTGGCCCATTAATTTATGTTTATTCAAGGGACACAATTCAGTGAGGTGCTTAGAGTAAATTTGCCACGAATTTTGTTGGTGAGCTCCCATGTCAGTTACGCATGAGGCACATGTTTTCATGACGGGTCTGATTGTTAAGGGCGGCAGGGTGGAACAGTTTGGAGAAGGGAATGCCAAGCAGGGTCAGGGCAGGAAGATATTGCTGAAACGAGCCCATCTGTTCGCTGTGTATAAAGTGCTTTTGTCTCTGATATGTCTGTGGTCTTTAATCTACGTGGTCGACTTTTGGCTCTGTTACAGCTGTATATGTATAATTTTGCTCTCTGTAGTGCCCTGTCTGATGCCAATCTTGTTACATGGCCAAACAGTTTGATTTGTTATCTACCTATAAAGTTCAGTATTGGTTCTGTGCTGACTCCTTCTGATATCATTGTTCCTTAGTCGATCTTTCCTCGTTACACCTAGCATAGTACATTAACATTTCCTTCTGTCGTCTGAAGGCAGGTGTTTATGTTTGACATTGATTGCATAACATTGACAAGAATTTTGTGTTAAAAAGTGTTCTTTGAGTGTTCATATTCACATGCTTGCATTTCAGAATTGGTACTGTTTGGCCTAAAACTTTATGGCATCTTTGTTGGATTTCTTTATTAATTGTTCCGTCTTATGAACAAATGCTCCCCAGATACATAAAATCATTCGCCTGCTTTAACTAGTGTTCCTCAGTTTTGATATTGGTGGTTCTTCCTTTTCTGGAGAATGTCATAACTTCTTTTTTGTCTGCGTGTTGATCTTCATATCTTCGTTGTTGCATTCTGAATGGCATCTATAATATGTTCTTGTAGTTTTACTGCCTATTGGTGCTATGATTGCCTGGTGATTTACGAAAGCAATTCATTTAGTAAATCTCCAATGTTATTTAGTTGATATTGTCTTGTTTTAAATGAGTAAATGAAGGTGATGATATTTCTGTAAAGTTTGATGACTGTGACTGATAATTCTTACAAACTGCCATCAAACACATTGTTGAAACTTAGTTTAGCGATAATGTAGCAGTCGGAGGTGTGTGTTCTATGTTACATAGCTCATGTAAACGTTTCATGTATGTGTTTCAGGTGTGTCCATTATTAGTGATTGTGTATCTTACGGCTTAGAGTTTAATTAAAATCATTTCACACTGCAATCCTCGCTATTCATGATATGGGAAAATATCTTTTTTGTGGCTTTTTGATTTGACAGTTTAGTCATACTGATATATATATATATATATATATATATATATATATATATATATATATATATATATATATATATATATATATATATATATATATATATATATGTATGTGTGTTTGTTTATGTTTATTTTTGCACCCAGTACACTGTAGATTAGATCAGATCATGTTTTTAAAAACTTCAGAGTATTTTATAAGTAGAGTATTTTATGCTATAGGTGGAAAGTGTTTTGGTTGCCTGAACTCAGTTGTTGATGATCATTAACCAATGACATCTGTCATATTTATAGAAAACCAGATGGACTAATCATGACTTGATTCAGACGTATAAGGAATATATCAAGGTCATCAACGCACAGAATCTGGCACTTTTTATTGAGGCATACCTCAAGTAAGATATGTTCTGTTTGATATATTGGCCAAGTAGTATTACTTTTTGTGATGTATAAATAAATATATATGTTGTAACATTGTATAGAACTATTTAATGAAATATGGGAAAAGAAAACAGTCCCAAAACAATGGAAGAAAAGAATAATTATGCACCCCCTCCCCCCAAAAGTAATCTTAACTACTGCAAAAAACAAAAACTGAGGAGGAATTCCCTTACTATCTGTTATATCAAAGACCGTTTGCAAAGTAATCCTCAACAAAATTAAAGAGGCACTTTATACAGTCATGAGAGAAGAAGAAGCCAGTTTTTGAACTGGACCAAGTTGTCTGGATCAAATAATTACCCTGAGACTTTTTCTAGAAGAACACATTGATAAGCAACTACCTCTCTTCCTGAATGTGATTGATTTCAAGAAGGCCTTTTGACAGCTTACATAGAATTTCACTATGGGGAATTTTGGAATGCTTCTGCAAACCAGCCGAAATAATATACGTTATTAGAAATGTGTACAATGGTTCAGAATATGCAGTGCGCACTGAAAATGGTCTAAGTGGCTGGTTTTTGTGTGAAAACGAGTAAAACAAGGTTACATCTCCCTTATTGTTCCGGTGTAGCCATTAATTAGTTAATGGAAAAAAAGATGTTCAAAGGCAATACTGGTATTGATTGCGTAGAGAGCAGACAACTGGAAGATCTGGATTTTGCAGATTATATATTTTTTTTTCTTTTAAGTAAAAATAACAGAGACATGCACAGAAAAACAGACCATCTGTGGTCTATGACATTAGAAATAGGACTATAAATAAACCAAATATATTGAAGATGCCAACAACAGATCATGTAGATGGCATACTAAGGAAGAAACCAACAAAAGTAACTGACCATTTCACTTATTTGGAAAGCAATTTTTACTCTCAAGGAGATACAACGATAAAAATTATAATATGCAATGGCAAAGCAACAACAGTCTTTAAACGCCTCAACAAAATATGGAGCGCCAGGTTATACAGCTTTAAGATCAAACTACAAATCTTCACTTCTAATGTTATTTTAATTCTGATTTATGCCAACAAAAGTTGGAGAGCTACAAAAGATATGGAACACAAGTTCAATGCATTTGAAAATAAATATCTGGGAAAAATCATGAACATAAAATGGGATGAATTTAAAAAGTGAGAAGATAACAGAATGGTCTGTGCAAATGCTGTATTGACTGCAGTAAGACAAAGAAGGTGGAGAAAAATGAGCATTCTCTGAGACACAATAAGCAAATAATTAAAAAAAAAAAACGAGCACTAAAATGGGAAACAGTCTGAGAAAAAGAGGGTGTCCAAGGGGAAATATTAAGAAGAACATAATTAAAAGTAGCTTAAAACGCTGGGCTGAACTTCCAGCCAGAAATCAAGAGTTGCATGTAGTAAAGTAGAGTCTTGAATGTGATCGCTAACTGCTGTCTAACGGCACACAAAGGACTTCTGGTAAAATGGCAGATAAGGCATGGCAGAATGTTATGCTTCGAAGTTATTTTTGCTACTGACAGCACTTTGCTAATGCAGTTTCCAGATATGGACGGTAGTCTATGGTTGACCTGCCTGAGCTACTGAGTCAAGTGCTTGTGCAGCCCTGTGAGCTGTGTTTTTCATGGTGCAGCGGGTGTGTGCTGGGATTTTCAATATGCTGTGAGCTGGTGAAATACCTTATGTAATAATTCTGTGTGTGTATAGCCAATGTATCCTGCTCGACTACTTCCATCAACGACAAATTGCATTTCTGGTGGCAACTGTTGGCTTTGGTACCTCTAGCAACTGCCATATGCATTTACTGTGTGCGCATACTTCTGGATTGTTCCGGGACTGTTTTGTTCGCCAGTTTTTCAAATAGGACAGTGAGGGACATTTCATTTGATTTTCACAGGGACAGAGCAAGTACGGGGAAACGCTATTGCAGTGAAGTTGAAACGTTGGCTAAGACTAAGACACAATGGATGATGATAACATTGCATAGGAAAATAATTTTACTTTCTTCTGCATATTATCAAAATATTGTAGTTTAGTAATTTCATTTGCTTCAGGTATTGCATGATCAGTGAGCTTAACTGCAAAGGGGAGAAAATTATTTTGTTTAAAACAATTTTTGTTTTTAAATTACTTTTTTACAGACGCACAGACTTGGGTATTGTGAGGGAGATGGATGCCATGAGAAAGGTGTCTGCTCGCACCATAAGGTATTACTGACACATTAGAGTAATTAATTGAGTAGTCAATATTTGTGCACAACACTAGATCACTCTCCGGGTCAGGGGGTTCAAGCGAGGACCAATACTCCCATCTTTATAACATTTTATTTAGTCACAAAACAGTTGCCTAAGCTTGAACTCGGAGAGCGGCAAAACCTTCTCACACAAGGGAGTTGAATGGCTGTAGACTGGGGTTTTGTTAACTAACAAAGTACTGATCTTTCAGTTACCTTCTGATGGTCTATTTCTTTTGTTTGGATCTGGGTGCATAAACCAGATAAATTTCAGTAGTAATGGCAATAAAGAGATCAGATAAAACACTGACTAGTGATAAGAGTTGTAGAGGGAGCCCAGAGAAGTCCATTAAACACCATAGTTAATGAGTGTAAATCTCCCCGTGTGGGTTCTGGGTTCCTGTTATAGGGAAAACAAGAATAGACCCACTGCCTACCCAAAAGCATGTCGTAAGAGTCGACTAATTGGGAGCTTCCTTCAAAGTGGGAGTGCATCTGCCTGAGAGGCAAGGAACCAGCAGTCTGCATACAGATTAGTCAGAACTGTAAAACTGATGCACACGCAACTCTCAGATTCTGGAACAGGGCTGCAGTGCAGAAGTGGATGAACAACCAGAACTTTCCTCCAGAGAATACAGCTGGTGAACGTGAAGAAGAAGAGTGTAGATCCTGACAGGTTGATGGGTCATCCTTTGCTGAAATGCTGTCAGTGATTTCAATAACAAGTTCTATGCCAACTGCAAAGGGACATGTGCACATAATGTCAGTAGTACATGCATGATAGATGTGTACGTCGTGACATACATCCAGCTGTTTCAAAGACACACTGATGATATTTCTTAGCCTTCTCAGATGCATTCACATATGGTCCAAGAAGTACATATTTAGCAGGCATTCAAAGCTAATACTTGAAATCTCTCATTCTCTTTTTGGGTTCTGGGGTCCCATTGTGCTGAAAATATGAATAGACCCACTGTCTAACCAAAAACATGTTGTAAGACTAGTTGGGAGCTTCATTTGAAGGCAGAGCGCATCTGACCGAGAGGCGAGGAGCCAACAGTCTGCAAACAAATGAGTCGCATCTGTGAAACGGGTGTGCACACTGAGGTTCTGAGACAGGACTAGATTCAGAAGTTGACAAACAGCCAGAACTTTCTGCCTGAGTTTACAGCTGGTGAACGCGAAGAAGAAGAATAAAAAAATAAATCTCTCAATAATGACGTTTTCACATGTCTAGTTTTATCTCTGATCAAATAGCATCATCATATCCAGCAATTGTATATCAGTTAGTGAGCTTAACAAATCCTTTTGCGCCCAGATTAATCATTAGTCTTTTATATTTTAAATATGAAACATTCTTGTATTCATCCAGTAAATCATTACAAAACACATAACCTACATCCCTATGGCAGTATAATTTCCTCAAACCGAAGCATGACCAGTGCGGTCTCTGTGTGTCTGTCCTTTAACTGTCTATTTCTTGAACATGGCACGTTTACAAGCAGTTTGTCTTAGCTGTGATGCCTTGTCAGCTTTGAATGACCTCAAGACGTTTTTGTCTCTATCACCACAATTTCCGGAGTTTTCGGGGTTGTTGTGATGCTGTTTTGTATTGCTGTTAGTTAACTCTAAACCAGTCTAGAAATGTGATTTTTTTCAGTGCATATTCTGCTTGTTGGACTGTTTTTTTTTTTAACATATTGACCTAAGATTTTAATATGCAGATGTAGAATAAATTAATTAAGATGAACATTAACAGCACGTAAATTAGTCTTGACATCTGTTTTCTGTATTGACCAACAATAGATGCCGTTCCCTTGTACTAGTTGGGGATGATTCCCCACACATGGATGATGTTGTTGACATGAATGGCCGGATGCTGCCTGAAATTACAGATTTCATGAAGGTATATTTAACAGTAGAAATGTCATCAGTTTTGATTTCTTCTGTGTTGTAACCCAGAAGTGTCGCAGAGGTTGTCTTCCCTTGCTTCTAACCCCTGGCAATATGTACAAGTGTGACAGTATTGTAGCTTTTCTGTTTGTTAATCTTGAGTTAATCTTGATTAATTCTAGAATCTAAGTGAACTGTGTTTTTGTCTTTTAACCGTGAACCAGGTTGTCAGAACCAACAGAGGTACATTATCTTTTAAAACTTTGCTGTTGTCATGGTGTTGTGGCCAATGTTTCCTAGCAAAGCTGTGTGTTGAACTTTGCCGTTGTCATGGAGTTGTGGCCAATAATTCCTAGCAAAGCTGTGTGTTGAACTTTGCTGTTGTCATGGAGTTGTGGCCAATGTTTCCTAGCAAGCTGTGTGTTGAACTTTGCTGTTGTCATGGAGTTGTGGCCAATGTTTCCTAGCAAAGCTGTGTGTTGAACTTTGCTGTTGTCATGGAGTTGTGGCCAATGTTTCCTAGCAAAGCTGTGTGTTGAACTTTGCTGTTGTCATGGAGTTGTGGCCAATGTTTCCTAGCAAGCTGTGTGTTGAACTTTGCTGTTGTCATGGGGTTGTGGCCAATGTTTCCTAGCAAAGCTGTGTGTTGAACTTTGCTATTGTCATGGAGTTGTGGCCAATGTTTCCTAGCAAAGCTGTGTGTTGAACTTTGCTATTGTCATGGAGTTGTGGCCAATGTTTCCTAGCAAAGCTGTGTGTTGAACTTTGCTATTGTCATGGAGTTGTGGCCAATGTTTCCTAGCAAAGCTGTGTGTTGAACTTTGCTGTTGTCATGGAGTTGTGGCCAATGTTTCCTAGCAAAGCTGTGTGTTGAACTTTGCTGTTGTCGTGGAGTTGTGGCCAATGTTTCCTAGCAAAGCTGTGTGTTGAACTTTGCTGTTGTCGTCGAGTTGTGGCCAATGTTTCCTAGCAAAGCTGTGTTTTGTGTTTAAATTGTGTAAGTTATAAAAGTTTTGAATCTCTCCATGCCGTCACTAAGTATCCAGCTTTCTCATTTATACATTAGGATCGACACCATCCAGATGGGATGGCTTTCAGAATGCTAGACAGATTAAAATGTTAAGACTGCTATATTTATGTGTGTGTGTGAATATCTTTACAGAATAGCATATTACTTTCCCCAAGTGGGTTCCAGGGCCATGTTTTGGGAAAAACAAGAATAGACCCACTGTCTACCCAAAAAATGTATGTCGTAAGAGTCGACTAATTGGGAGCTTCCTTCGGAGTCGGAGTGCATCTGCCCAAGCAGCAAAGAACAACCAACTGCACACAGGCAAAGAACAACCAACTGCACACAGGCAAAGAACAACCACTGCACACAGGCAAAGAACAACCAACTGCACACAGACAAAAAACAACCAACTGCACACAGGCAAAGAACAACCAACTGCACACAAGTGAAACAGCTGTGCACACAAAACTCTGGCCCTGGTTCAAGGCCAGAATCCAAATGGATGAACAACAACCAAGACTTTCCGCATGATCTTACGATGGTGAACAAAGAAGAAGAAATATATTGCTTGTCCTTTTGTTTCTTGTTTTTAAGAATATCTTGATAACTATTTCAGCAACACCAGATAAGTATATTTAAAGTATAGTTAACAGCGTAAAGGGAATAGAAAATTTAATATTGTCCGTCCAAAAGCACAGTGAAGATCAAAATCTGTTCTTGAATTTAAAGAAAACAAAAATAATGTCCACAGATAAAACTGGCTGTTACCCAAAAATAACAATAAATGATGAAGAAATTGAAAATGTCACAAACTTTGAATATCTAGGCTCTATAATAAACAACAACTGTTCGACAGAAATTAAAAGGAGGATGGCCATAGCAATGCAAAGATTGAACAGCCTTTAAAAGTCTAGGGTTAAGCACCAGCAAGGAGATAAAAATTAGAATTGTGAGAGCATGCATCTTCCCTGTGGCTACATACGGATGTGAGTCGTGGACTATCTCTCGGTTCTTAAGAAAGAAAATAGGGGCTTTTGAGCTGAAATGCTATAGAAAGATTCTCAGAATATCTTGGACAAAGAAGATGAGAAATATTGACATCTTAAAAGATCTGAACATCAAGGAAGATTGGCTAATAAACAGCATCCTTTCTCGAAAGCTGAAATATTTTGGTCATATCAAGCGCCACGACGGATTGGAAAAAAATTATAGCAGAAGGCATGGTGCCAAGAAGGAGGGGCAGAGGATGACCGAGGTGAATATGGGCACAGGATATAAGTGACTCCTTGAGTGTGAAAGTACATGAGGCGGGAGAACTGGCAAGAGACCGAGTTTCTTTCAGGCAGACTGTGATAAGAGTGACGTTCTGCAAAGGACCTGCTGCATGATGATTTCTAATTTATAAAGAATCATATATAATTATATGTATAAATCTGTGAGCTTCCTGAATGAAATGTTGAAATTGCTTTGTGTTGACTAAAGAAGTAGTTTCACTGATAAAACATTGAACCATAATTTTTTGTGATATTGCAGTAGATACAACAATTGTGTGTGTTGTTTTCAGATTGCAGACTGCGGTGGGATGCCATTGGAAGAACAGCCAGGCAAGACCTGTGAAGCTTTCAAATTGTTCTTGCAAGGAATGGGATATGGTAAGGAAGCCAGTTATTTGTTGTTTATTGTACAGTAAATTTATAGAAGTGACAGACTGTTTATGCAAGGAATGAGGTATGATAAAGATACAATTTCTCATCAGAAATGAGAAAATATAATGCAATATGTTATATTATTTATCAGTGTTATTTTATAGGTTTTTTGGGGGCACTGATATTGGGTTATATTATAGATATCTGACAAGGAAAATGTTAATCAGTATTCACAGTAAGCTAATAAGATAAAAGGAGTTAAGAACCATTATCATGGCACTTGTGACATTGCCATAAGCGTCCCCCTTTCCCCTTCAAGCCGACAATGGTCTCTGTACTTTTAGCCCAGTATGATTAGAACTCATGACAAGACTGCTTGTTGCGCAGACACTTTATCCCACTCCTGGCCCTTCCCAGTATTGAGCCTGCAGAAATGTCTGATTGTGTCTTAGCCATCCAAGATCTTCTTGTCAGCATGTCACCATCTAGGGCAGGGGCTTCATCTTATATTGCAGTGACCCTTTAATAAAGTTCTTCAGGTTGTGGCGACCCCCTGCCATACAATCATTTTTGATGCTATTTCATAACTTCAGTGAATGTGTGTTTTGCGATGGTCTTTGGCGACCTCTGTGAAGGGTCATTTGACCTAAAATAAAATGGTCGCCACCCACATGTTGAGAACCACTGATCATGGAAGCAGAGTTTCTTGTCTGTGGCTATTCTGAGATATGACTTTTCTTGCAGCACTTTGGGCTTATCTCTAATAGTCAGCAGTGCTTTCTATAGAAAGTGATACCCAGATCATTTGTTTCCTGTTTGATGTTCCTGTCAATAATATTGATGCTTGGGATATCAGCTGTAATAAAGCTATTGTCCAGTGAGCACCATAAAACAGCCACATTATTTGAGTTGCTGACAAGACCCATCTCTGCTCACCGGTCATTCACTAAATCTACATTTACATTTACCCACCACGCCTATATGCAAGAAGCTGATCTGCAAAAGCCAGTATCCTTCCAACCCCCTGAACTTCAAGTGATGTGGTCTTGCTTGTATGCACATTGAAGAGCACAAGCAAAGTTGCAGAACCTATGGTAGTCCCTTAGCCACAATATGCTGTGCCATATTGTTTTGTTGTTGTTGTTGAAATACTGATACAAGAAACTGTGCAGCTGACATCTGTCTAACATGAAGAAATATTATTAGCAATAGAGTGATGTTCATTGTGTTGAATCAGTTACTGCTTAGATATTTCATCCTAATCATCAATGGTTATGCTCTGAGACCCAGCAGTCATTTGCTGAAGTTCTAAAACATTCTAGTTCTAGAATTGCTCTTAGCACATGCAAGGAAATGACCAGATTTTAACATTTGTTTCAACTATTTCAAGATGGTATGTGAAAACTATGCTGTATTAAAACTACATTCTTTTTTTCTCCCTTAATGCTGTTTCTCATGAAGTGTGTAAGGAGATGTTTTCAAATATTATTTTCACTTTTTTCAGTATTCAAGAATAGTCAAATGCTTTCTGTTTTTGTGTACATTGGATCACCATTTAAATGGCTTGCTTCTTTGCTTGACAGCTTGCATACATCAGTCAGTTATTGTGCACTTTCCAATGCTTAGTAACTAGATGCTCTTTCATGTCTAAGCCGATTTTCTTATACTTTGTTATGGTTGACATATAATATTATTGGTTGCAAGTTGACAAGAGCTTTATATTTGTTTAGTTTATAACCCTATATATAACAGGAATGCACTTTCAGCTTTGGTGGATTGTTTGAAGTTTTAATTAATTAATGATATGGAGTGATGTGGTCTAAAGGATTAACATCTGGAAGTGTCAAATTATGATCAACATAGATGATGTTTACTCACTCAGGAACATAAGAAATTAACATTTCACCACCCTTGCAACATCAAAGGCAGTGGGACCAGAAAGAAGCGAGTCATGTGTTAGATGCATTTGTGTACCTTGATATTGTAGAATATGCATTCACGGGATCTGTGTCCCTTGAGGTGAAATAAGAGTTATACAGAGCCATTCATGATATATTGAAGCGGATCATGAACAGTTAGTAGATTAGTACAAAATTCTGTCTTGAAGCTGCAGAGATAGTTCTCTAGAAGAATGGTAACACATGCAGAGGAAAAGTATAAAGATGTTTTGAGAGACATTAGCTCACAAATAGACACCTGGATATACACTTGAGAAAAGTTAATCAGCATTCATTGGGCTGGGCATGTTAGGAGAAAGAACAAAACAAGGAGCAGGATAGTTGGAGCCAAAGGGAGGCAGACCATGAGAGAGGAGGATATTGATTGTTCAGCATCATGCTGTAGTGGTGTGCATCTGTATCAGTGATGATTGAGAGCACAGAGGGGCTAAGGACAGATATGATGACCAGCCCCACACAGCGTATGCACTGTAGACAATTGCATGGTGGATGTCCAGCCATCTGCCATCAGATTACAAAATTAGCAGCCACACAGGCACACTTTTAGTGGTCCCTTTGTGGTGGTAATTATTAAACCTAGGCTGTATATGGATATTTACTTGGGAACTTTTCAAAAATACCATCGAATGTGGATTGTAACCACTTTTGTGGATGTGAAAGGGGAGAGAAAATCACCACATTTGTAAATGTAGAAATCGTTCAGAATCTCCTCAGTGAAAAGCTTGACATCCCCTATCTATACAATTTCTTTCGTGCATGTGATTTGACCATCTTTATATATTCAGTTCTTGGCCATTATTACAGTTTCTGCATGCTCCATAGTTTAGTGAGGAACTGAGACTTTAGTTGTGCCGTTTATTGCATTAGTCAGTATTATTAACCAGTTTGTTTTTTTTTCACAGCTTTTAAGTTTATTTTTGCTTTCTACTACATGAACATAATGTTCTCATCATTTCTCTCTGGATATAATACATTTATTGGTCGCTGTCTTAAGTGGGCAGAGGATCACTCTGCTATGCTCAGTAACTGTGGCTTGCAAAGACCTGACTTTCGCGGCGCGCCGGGTGGAACTCCTTGGGGGGGGGGGGGGGGGGGGCAGAAAAACATTATCCAAATTTTGGAATCACAAAATAATGCCAATAAAAAGTTGTTAGCAACAGCGAGGAAAGGTGCTAAAATGTTGTAGGGTGTTTGGAGGTGATGATAATTGTGAGCGTGCGTGTATATGTGCAGTGTATGCTACTATCCCTGCTTGGTTATTTTGTGTATGATTGTTTTAGAATGTCTCCGTATCCAGTATCCTATAATCCATCCTTTAGTTTTTTCATTCACTTGTTTTCCCTAATGGCATTAAAATGTACGCCTTTGGTTTTGAACATGTTAGATGATTGTTTCTTGCCGGAACATGTTAGATGATTGTTTCCTTGCCGGAACATGTTAGATGATTGTTCCTTGCCGGAACATGTTAGATGATTGTTCCTTGCCGGAACATGTTAGATGATTGTTCCTTGCCGAAACATGTTAAATGATTGTTCCTTGCCGGAACATGTTAGATGATTGTTTCTTGTCGGAACATGTTAGATGATTGTTCCTTGCCGGAACATGTTAGATGATTGTTCCTTGCTGGAACATGTTAGATGATTGTTCCTTGCTGGAACATGTTAGATGATTGTTCCTTGCGGGAACATGTTAGATGATTGTTCCTTGCCGAAACATGTTAAATGATTGTTCCTTGCTGGAACATGTTAGATGATTGTTCCTTGCTGGAACATGTTAGATGATTGTTCCTTGCTGATCTAAAAGTCCACACTGCTACCACTATGGGCCTGCTTTTAGTATATTTCATACAGCCATTTTTTCTTTCCTGTTGTAGAAGAAAATCATGGTATATGTATTATATAGAAAGATCGTCTGTTAAACTAGGTTATCAGTATGCATTTTTTTAAGTTGGCATTGTTCCCCTCTCTCTCTCTTCCTCTCTCATCCCATTTTCTCTATACCTCCCCCTCTCCTTTCTCTGTCTCTCTCTTTTCTCTTTCCTTTATTCCCCAAACCTTCTCATATATAGCCACATAATTTTCATTGGTCTGTAAATTCTGGCAGAAAAGTGTTGGTGATGTTGGTGTTGGCATTGTTCCCCTCTCTCTCTCTCTCTCTCTCATCCCCTTTTCTCTATACCTCCCCCTCTCCTTTCTCTGTCTCTCTCTTTTCTCTTTCCTTTATTCACTGACCCTTCTCATATATAGCCACATAATTTTCATTGGTCTGTAAATTCTGGCAGAAAAGTGTTGGTTGTCCGCTCCTGGACTTTGTTCTTGATCCAGAACTTTGAGTTTTGTGTGCACATCTGTTTTAAGATTTGGCTTATTTGTGTTGTGCAGACTGTTGGTTCCTTGTCAGGTGCATTATGACTTCGAAGGAAATCTCCCTAATTAGTCATCTGCTACGACATACTAGTTTTTGGAGCAGTGGGTCTATTCTTTGATCTCCAAAATGGAGCCCAGGAACGCACGCAAGGGATGTACCAGTTCTCTCCACAATTCCTTGTATTTTTCCTTGATAAGTGTTCTGATTTCTGGTAATGACAGTGGATGGATGTTGTTTTTCCTTTGTTCCATTTTTAGCAAGTCTGTCTGCTAACTCATTTCCTGGTATGTCGCAGTGAGCCGGAATCCACAGAACGATCTGATTGTTTTCTGCGAGTCTGTTTAGCTGGCGGGTCAGTTCTCTCTCCATGTTGTCACATGGATCCATCTGAGTCGTCTTTTAGTCACAAAGGAAAATAATTTTGCTGTTTTTAATTTTTCTTTGCTCAAGCACTTTCTTCTTCTTCTTCTTCACTTCCTCTTTTACCGCTGTGGGTGTCGAGGGAGATATAAGGTTCTGTTTCTAGCTCTTCTGGCCACCTCGAACATAGGCACATCGTGCTGTTGAAGAGTTTCTCTGATGTTATCCTTCCATCTTGTTATTGGTCTACCTCGTGCTCTACGTCCTTCTTCTCTTTCCATGTATGCTTTGTATGGTATGGTGTCACAAGGCATTCTCTCT